TAATACAGAAAACTTTTTTATGACATTTAAATTGATTTCTTGTATTAATCGATTATTTTATTATTTAATTATATACTTGAATATTTTGCAGCTTGTATTTTTTTATGCAAATGCATTGTGAATATTTAATTGAGTTTAATATCTACTTTACTGTTTGTTATTCTGATAGGGGGTGTTATAAATTGACCACAATCACATTTCAATTCATTTACAAAATTAAATGAACCTATACGATTATTACAATGTGGACAATATAGTCTACCCTTGGTCCAAGATTCCTGTAACAAATGTGTATAGTATGATATGAGTTTAATTTAAGAACCTTTTAATTTTGTATATATTATTTGTATTATAATAGCATTCAGTTTCTACATAGTATAGAATATATGTATAGATATTATGCAATGTTTATAACTGAATATTTGTGAATACTGATGGAAACTTTACTTGATTTACAATGTTTACAATCCATTCTGGTACATTTTCTATTGGTAGGTATGATGAAGAATCTGTATCATTTGTATTACCACATCCTATATCCACCAAATTCTGTTTTATTTCACTATGTGAAGTTAATAACTGTATAGGTTTGTTGTTGAAGAGATTCTTTCTGCAAAGTTTGCATTTCACTTCCATTGCCTAAAAAATGTTATAATATGGTCGTAAAACATATACTATAAATTTATCAATGCAATGTGTACAGTAAATTAGAATATAAACTAACTTTTATAGGTTATAAATATACGACAAAAAATGTAGTCTTAACCCTTCTTTACCTGCACCGCAAAGTACGAATCCATAAATATAAAGAATTGTAAAAATAATTACATGTAACCTTTTTTTACATTGTTTTGAAAACTACAGTTTGTTTTACAATATATGTTATTAAAAATATTACAAAAAATATTACAAAGAAAAAAACGAATAGGTGAACTATGGTCACAAGTTAAAAATGTTTACACTGTTATGCATAAGTATATCTGTAATTTATGTTATCACAGTTTTTACATTTTTATATTATAATAAAAGATTTTATTCTCCATAAAATATTTTATGTGTATTTTATTTGAATTGGTATTTGTTTTTTAACTTATCTATTACATGTACTATTACATTGATTAACTTTAGAGATTAAACTACTTAATAAAGTAAAGAAATTTAAATTCACCATAGTGGTTTATTGCTTGAATACAATAAGATTACTTAATCTTCACCCGCTGGAATGGCATCTTCTAGTCTTTTAATAAATTTAACACGTAATTCATTTGTGCTGTCATTTTTAAGTTGATCTTGGACAAACCAACAAGCGATTTCCATTTGTACCATTTCACAAGCTCCTCGTAAAATTCCAATTAATATGTTACAATATTTTAAATTCAGACAATGATCCGGTAATTCTACAAATTCTGTCAATGGATTTGCTTCAAAGCATAAAGAGAATTCATCGCCGGCAGCACTCCAATTTGTAATTGTTGGGGTAATACCCAAAAATATTTTAAAGCCAGTTTGTATTTTTTCAGCTGTGTCCCTAAAATCGTAACATCGACCAGATCCAGTACGTGCTAAAAAATCCTCTATCAAACGAATTCCCATATTATAGCCCATTCTTTCTAGTTGTTTATTCACATCTTCTACATTTTCATAATCCTTTAATAACTGGGCTACCAATGCACCGTACGTCAATGTAAATAATTCAGAATTCTGAAATTATAGGTTTATTTAAATCTTCAATGTAAATAATAAGTCATGTTTCAATGAAATAAGTTCGTTGCATATATATTTTCAACATAACCTTTAAATATTATCAACTAACATAACGCAAATTAGTAATGTAAACATTGATTGAATCACAAATGTTTATTTATAATGTACTTACAACTTTTTTTGAGTCGAGTTTTGTACTTGCTCGTGACATGTTTACAAATATGGATCCCCTACTACACTATACCAATTGAACTTGTACTACACTATATGAACTGTGTCTATGACTTCATTAAACTGTTTTAATGATTTTGCCTTGTATTGCTTAATTTTTAATAATTTATTATACAGAGAGTTATATTACATATGGAGAAATTCTTTTTAAATAACGATAGTCACAAATAATTGTTATCAATAAAAATTTATTCAAACACCATTTAATATAAAACTTATTAATTTTGTTATCGTCATAATATCATAGTTCATAAATAATTTATAACAATTTTTAAACGTGGTTATAAAACCTTCTATTTTAATCGTATAGAAGATATAAATTCTTTTTAGTTGTTCATTTACATTATAGTTTTTGTATAAATTTTATACATGAGTATATGATTTATGATAAAACTGAAACTTAATATAGGACGGAGTCCTTAAACTGATCTTTGGGCAATTGTATAAAGTACATATGCTATAAGTTATTATTCAAAAGTCTCCCATGGCTGCTATAATATTATACAATGCTGTCCTTGCGTCGCTCTTTTCGAATACACTTAAAACCTCCATTGCCCTCTGTGAATGCCGTTTTTGCAATTGTTTTGTTAATTCAACTCCAGGTCCCATTAAGACAATCTCATAAACCTATATTTAAGTTATTCATGACTGTAGACATAATGAAAGTATATTATCTAGTTAATAGTATTTAATTTACCTACCTTTGCATAATCTACATTATTTACAGATTCTAAACCTTTATCGATTTCTGATAGAATCGATGGGTCATGCTCAATATGAAACATGACTGGTGCAGAACACAAATTGAATGATGCACTTTGATCTTTTGTAATAAATGGACTCAAATCCAAACAGGCTTGCCAAGCCAATGCCAAATGCTTCCCAAAGTTGTAACCCTGCTCCTGTATTTCATTGCTGTGTCCAGCCAGTTTCAATGTACCTTTGCACGATTTTCCAAGTAATGCACCAGCACTTAATACATTTCTTAAAGTCCATTCCTCCACTGCGTAATCTGTATGATTTTCAGGTGGTATGGAAGGCAAAGGATTATTTTGTCTATCTCTACGTCCTATGAATTCTGCTTCAGCCAAGTCTCTCACAGCACTTGACATTAATTCTACAATCTAAATACAATTGCAATATAATAAAAAAGCTTATATATTCAAGAATAATAATAATATAAACTATACATGTGCATACTTCCTGATTACGAAGATTAGCTAATTCTGCACAAGAATTAGCTAATAAATAATCTCCACTTAATAATGCAATTTTGTTACCAACGTTCATATCATTTAATTCTGAAGTTTCTAAATGTACACCAGGTTCTATGTTTATCAGTCCTTTATGAACAAGATGACTGGTACGTATCATTTCAGTGACTTCAGCTAGTGCCCGCTGACTAAAAGACAATATAGATAAACCTTTTTTAATTGATATTTTATTATGAATTGTAATATTATACCTATGAAGAACACCAGCAGCTTTGTCTACTTCCATATCGTCTACATTTAAATGACCAGCAGCTTTTGAGATCAGCAATACGATAAGACCCCATGCTTGCATATTATTACGTCCATTAAAGATGACACTCCTGTAATAGTCAGAAGCAATACCAATTGATAACAAAGGTGACAATAAATATATAAAATATATGTTATCACTTACTTGGCTGTTTTTAATACAGGATGATTAGACCCAACTAATTTTCTTAAATGTAATGCTACATTAGCAATTTCATCGCTTAAAAGCCACCGTAAACTCAGAAATGAAGTTGGATATCCAACAATTTTTTCTGCTTCTGAAACAGCTCTATTCCAATCTGGCTTTTGATTTCCAGCAAGTTTTGCTTCTACTTTATTAAACTGTTGTAAACGAAATCTATTTTTTGTTGAAGTGTGCACATTTCTATGTTCTCCATAGCACACTCTATGATCAATGCATGACATAGACCTGGCTATACTTCCGTTTTTTAGAAAAGTAAATACAACTTTGTTCATAGACATTTTTATACTGTACACACCCGTAGACTTTGTTTCCTCTGAACATTAACATTGGTGACGCATTCAACAGGTATAACGCACATGATTGACGTTTCAGAACTTTCACTTTTGACCTTATTTTCTAAAGAAAGCATGCATTTCAACTTCAATTGAAAATTTTTGTTCTACCATGATTGCTAGATGTGCTCCCTATTTACACGTGTACTTACTCTAGAAAGTTTTATTATTTTTTATTAAAATACTATTGTACTTTTATGTTTATTTTTGTTAAGTAGAAAAGTAAGTATATCAACAAAGGAAACTTACAAAGATACCATCCTAGTTACTAAATAATTATCTAATCTACAATCTACACACTACACTACTGTGTGCATTTCTATGAACCTTAAGGGTATTCGCAATTCTTTTTTGAGTGTCTTCTTTAAAGAGAAAAGGTACTACTCTTAGTTACCTACTTATTGTTAGATTATCATGACTGCATTCTTGGCGTCATGCCGTTTCCCTGACGACGTATTTAGAAATGGATAGTCTGCTATAGATATTGACACGATATATATATAATATTTGATAGCGTGTCGCTGCGTAGTGGTGGTAGTGCCCGTACCATGGTCCGCTAACCTAATTTGTGAATTTCATTTTTGTATCATCATTTGTGAATAAATATTTCTGATATAATGTTAAGCATTATTTTATGCCGCCGTCTGCAACTTGTTGGACATAACAAAAAAAAGCTTTGGACCAAATCATTTACAACATGCTCATTTAAATCACGAAGGCAAATAATTCATTCAGAAGGAGGTCTCCTTCGCGTTGCAACATTTAATCCAATGTTTTCGACTCATGGAGTTAGGGTAATTTTTCTAACTTATATATTTATGTATTTTATATAAATATTAATTGTAGATGTGTGACAATGTCCTTGACTATCACCTCTTATCAATTTCCCTTACGTCATGATTACTTTAATAAGAATGTAATTTATTAAAGTAACAGTTGTAACAAAATAATACGAATCTTCGATCGTTAAAGGAAAATATAAATATTTTGTATAACTTGTGAATACAATATGTAATAAATGCAGTTTAATTAACATAGATTTAACAATAAATGTTTCACAAAACAGTTATAGAAAAATTATTTATTTCAAGACATCTGTTTACCGCTTCTACAGATAAAAACATAATGGGTAGAACATCAAGAAAACGTCGACAAAAGAAGAAACTAAATGCCAAAGAATTGACAGATAATGGAGATGAACACTTAGTCCATCTAATATCTTGGTTATTAACAAATAACAGTTTATTAGTTCATGACTTAGTTCCATCTGATTTTCCTGTTACCGGTAGAGGATTAAAAACATTAAGAAATATTGGTTCTAATGAAGTACTGATCAGAATACCATATAAGGCATTAATAACAACAGCTACAGTATCTCAAAGCAGTAGCAATACCTTTTTTTTGAAAAATCAATTATATAGTGCCCAATATGTACTATCAGTGTTTCTCTTGTATGAATTACATTTGGGTGATACATCAAAATGGTATCATTATATAAATAGTCTTCCTTTGGTTTTAACAAATCCAGATTTTTGTACACAAAAAGAAAAAAGTCTGCTACCAGCATTTATTATAGATTATATGTATGAGCATCATAAAATTCAAAAAGACTTTCAGTTATTAATTAGGACAATAAGTAGTAGTTTGGATAAGAAATGCTCTCATTGTGATATGCATTTTAAAAAGATATTTACATTTGAAAAATATAAGTGGGCGTACTACATTGTCAATACGAGAGCTATATACATTGATACAAAACAAATACAAATGCATCATATCACCATTAATATAAAACAGCCTAATAATTTGGCCTTAGCACCTTTCTTAGATTTGTTTAATCATGATACCCATGCTGCTGTTAATGCATCTTTAATAGCAGATAAAAGGGATAATAAATTCTATGAAATTAAAACATTAAAATCATTTGATAAAGGGTCACAAGTTTTTATCAACTATGGAGAACATAATAGTTTAAAATTGTATGTTCATTATGGCTTTTTTATATCAAATAATCAGTTAGATGAAGTTTATTTTAATATTCTTGATATAGAAGCTTGTTTTAAAGTTCCAAAATTCAAATTAGACTTTATTTTGTCTAATAATTTACAAAAAAATATGGCATTTACAAGAGAAGGTTTAAATTATAATGCCAATGCTACATTATTTATATTAACTACAAAATTACAGAGGGATTGTTGGAATTCAAAACTATATGGTGATGATTTTGTATTAAAGGAATCATATGAAATAAATAGTATAGCACAAAAAATTTTGAATTTAAAGAAGAACGAATTAATGAATCATTTGGAAAATATGAAAAATTTTAAACACTATTCACAATCTTTTCTCATAGCAATTGATCTTGTGGAGGAATATATAAAAATATTAACTGAGTCAAATAATCATATTTGCATGTTCCATTAATTGCAGTAGTTAAAAACATGTTTGATGGTTTACTATTAAAATGTATATAAGAAATATATGTATTATATTTTACTTGTAATATTTTAATAAAAAGTTTTATTTCTAATTAATGCTTTTTTCTTTTTCCATTAAAATTATTTTAACAGTAAATATATTTCTCTTCACATGGAATAATAAAATATAGAATAATAGAATAATCTTCATATAGAATAGTAAAAGAATTATTCCTCTC